CTTTATTCGATACGTGCTCGATATTTAATAACGAACGTTACGATTCACGAGAACACTAAATTTATTCAGTACAAACTGCGATTCTATACCGACAATTCGAAATTGGCAGTGAAACTGCGATTGCTTGAATAATTTAACACTCGAACGTTTCATAGACACGCGAATTTACGAAACAAAAATTATTTTCGTATTTTCAAAATGTCGATAACTGTTTGAAATAATTTTTCAAAATGTATTATTAGAATATCAACAGAGTTACTTAGAAATCAAATTTGTCGATAAATGATTTTTAATTGAAATTTCTCCTCGAGTGTCTTCTAATTGTACTTTAAAGTCGGTGATATTTTCCAGAAGTGCCACGAACAGAATTTTTCAAGGCAAATCGAAGGTTTCGCGAGAATATTATAACTGAGATAAAATTGCGGGGGAAAAATGAAATTGGAAGGAATCTTTGTTTCGAAACTGCTCACTTTTACGCAATCGGTGTCCTTCTTGCAACGCACACACACGCGCGCGCGCGTCCATCGCCACAAAGTGAATATCGACTAATTAACGACGCGGCTAACGTCATAGGGTTTGCCACAGTCAAAGGACATCGTTATCCTGGCGTTGGCCATTTGAAAGATAAACCTAAAAAAGCAGTTTCACTCCCAGTTTGTACAGCTTCGACCTTTTCCACCCCCCTTTTTTCTCTTCTCGCAATCAAACGAAAATTAGCTGCGGTAGAAGAGTCCGGGGCAGAGGAGAGAGAAAAAGAAAGAGAGAGACACCGAAACCTTGACCACTACGTGCTTTTTTTCAGCTTTGACAAGGGCAGAAGTTACAAAGCGAGCTCTGGCTATTTAGTCGACGAAACGACGATTCTTCGAGGATGAAAGAGAAGGGGTCGGCTAGAGGAAGAGAGAAAAAAATGAGAATGGAAAAAGCTTGATAAACAGTAACGCGTGGAGAAAAATGGGGGGAGAGAGAGAGAGAGAGAAGAAAACGAGCAACACGAAATTGTAGTCGGGAAGAAAAATGAATAGCCCTATCTTTCGGTAATTAAGACTGTACCGAAAAATAAGCAAACACATGGACACATACCCTGCGTGAGCCTTCAGACGCGGCACAGCTGTTGCGCCCATGAGGATTCAAATAAACGACTTAGGTAGATTAAGCATACAAATCTCCGCGGTTCCTCCTCTGCAAATTCCTATATACGTTTCAGCTGGTCTTTCTATATACAGAGTGTTCTCAAAAAAGTTTCCACGATTTATAGGGTAGATAGTACTCACTAAACTGACAATCAGTGGGAAATGCTTAATGAGCGCAGCTCGGAACATCGATTTTGTCAAAGTGGACACTTTGACAAAATCTCAATGAGAGATCACTCGGTCAAAAAAAAAGTCTTTAATACTGAATGAAAATATAATTTTTTTAGTGTAAGAAACTTTTTAAATTTTAGGAAATATGGTATTTCATTGTTTTACTGAATAGGGAATTAATTTTACGAAGATATACATACACTCGGTCGAAAAAGTCTTCGTACAACTTATTAGAATACATATTTTTCACAACTAATTGCGCTAATCTTCCAACCTCGTCGGCATAAAATTTGCATATGTGCATTAAATTTCTGGCTTTTCTCAATTTTCTCAATCAAAGATTTATAACTATCTCAAAATATTTCGCATTTGCAGATTCTACTCGCAATACGCTATTTCTGCTATATTGAGAATTTTGGAATTTTCTTCGAAGAGCTTCTCTCTTCGTAAACAGATTTCCACATCTCGAATGTACGCGCATATGCTGTTTACACTCGATCACTACACGTTTCCTAGTATAATCTTGCAGAGACAAATACAAATGTCAAACCCACTTTCTCTAAATTTGTAAGCATGATCCCGTAACCATGCAACACGATCTCGTATCGTTTAAACAAGTGGATAGGAGTAAGTACTGGTTGATTACTGACGAACTTTGAAATACAAGAAAGTACGCAAGTATTACTTAGGCATAAGAAATGCACGTGTAGATCCAAAAATTATTTTCCAAAATCAAAGTTACAATACCATTTAAACTAAGCACTGGAGTAACGTTTTTAAACAATAAAACACCGCATAAAGTAAAATTTCCAAAAGAAGTACACAATTTTTCTTTATTTTTTTTAAATAAAGTTGACTGTGAAATCGCACGTATCACATTAACCACGCGAAATAGTTTAATACTGCTTTATGAAACGTGCTTCCGTCTTTAAACCAGTTCCGTGTAAATCTGTATTACACGTTACATTGCCGACGGAAAGTTTCAGAGCACTTGGACATTTGTTGCAGATTTCTGGATTAATGAAAACACCGCGAGAAATTCACAATTGTAAAATATTCTTCTGCTTCGTTTATTGCTCGAAAGCAAAATTTTTTCAACTATTAATATTGGTCTGAAAGCATCGGTATCCTTAGGACGCGTTTTTATAGTGATTTGGAAAAGTGAACAGATATTTCCCACCAATCAGATATACGAATGAAAAAAGTCTAAAATAACTCCTATCGCTGTATCTTCGTTTCCATTCAAATTAGTGTTCCTTCGAACTTGCACTGTTTCGTTGCACTTATAGTATAGTTAATGGAAGAAATACAACGAGGTCGTAAATTAAAACATCAATGAAAGACAGTTTTTCGATTAAGACTGATACAAAGCTAAGACACACTTCATTTAGCCCTAACTGAAATTTCAAGCCCTCATCTTCTCAGATTTCTGCCAATTCTTCTGTAAATTCTGACACCTGAGGGAACTTACGACCTCGTTATATTAAAATCAACCTTTAGCTAATTTATACCGTGACAAAGACACAATGATGAAATGAGTTGTAGAAAATTTTGATTGAAAATTGTAACCAGGTACTGTCAAAAGAATTAGGAAAAAGAATAACGTAGTCCTGAATAATTCTGTAGTCCTGATTCGCACCCACGGTACGTTAAATGTTGAAAATCGAGGAAAATGTTCATATCAAGTTGAAAATTGCGTAGATTATCGGTACACACGAATGCTTACTATACAAAGTGGGCCACGTAAAACGTAAAGAGTCTGTTTTACGTGGTCCACCCTGTCGAGAAGTATGTGCGAACTAAAAAAAACACTTTAAACAATTAACAAGGCTTCTAATAGTGGTTGCTTGTGAATTTCTTTACGTCTACCCGACAGCGTAACGCTTAAAAAAGAAACCATAACACAAAAGAAGCTCTACTCATATAAATAGCACTAATAAACTTGTCAATTTTTCAACCGTGAAATTTTAATAGAACACTGCACGAATTTCCTTTGAAAAAACCGGAACGTTCGTTCATAAATGAACAAAGGCGAAGTCGTTCGTTCAAAAAAAAAAGTATCCACGAACTGGTTTCTTTCAACGATACAAGAAACTAATTAACCTCTTCAAGGACGATTTTTTTAACACGTTGACACGCCAGTTTTACATGTTACTCTCAGGGAGTCAGAAGAAAATTTTCATTACTTTAAGCATTTTCTTTTAATTCAAAATAATGTCTAGTTAGCTACGATATGAAAAATTTTTAGTTTACAATATTCAATTTATTTGAATTATTCCAAACGTTTGAGACACTCCGGTAGTTAACTGTGATATCCAAAATTTTTAGTCGACAATACTCACTTTATTTGAATTATTCCAAATACTTGGGACACTCCGGTCACCGATGACCACCATAGAGGAGACAATCTCCGGTCACACGTGACCAAGATAGCAGTCAACGTATTAAAGTTAGCAGAAACTGATCTAATTTTTTAATTAAACTGTTTTCCATATTGGCACAATATATTTGTCACATTTCCTCTATCACAAACATTGCAATTTCCCTAAAAACTAAACGTAGATACACATACGTGTCAGTGTCCTTGAGGAGGTTAAGAATAAACTCCAAGGAAAGAGAAAAAAAAAGAGACAAAGATAGCAGTCAACGTATTAAAGTTAGCAGAAACTGATCTAATTTTTTAATTAAACTGCTTTCCATATTGGCACAATATATTTGTCACATTTCCTCTATCACAAACATTGCAATTTCTCTAAAAACTAAACGTAGATACACAAACGTGTCAGTGTCCTTGAGGAGGTTAAGAATAAACTCCAAGGAAAGAGAAAAAAAAAGAGACAAAAGAAGAGACGAGGTGGGATCGTAAAAGTAAAAGAAGAAAAAGACGAGAAGACTCACGTCGATAAGGTCGTCCCTCCTCAGGCGTGGATCGCTCGGTGTTCTCAGAGCCAGGCGTGGCGTTCGCATCCCGATCTTCGTCCTCCGGTGTGGTACCGCGATTTGGGACCGAGCCGGTTCCGGTCCCAGTCGGCGATCGGCTGGTAGAGCCAGCGGGGCTCTGAGGTGCGACTTCCTGTGCCGTCGCGGCGCTCGCGCCTCCTCCGACGCCTCCGATACTAGCCGCAGCGCCAGAAACGGACACAACAGCACCTCCGCTTGCGGAAGAAAGCGACGACGGGGAGAACATATTTGACATGCTCGAGAGGGAACCGATGCTTGGTAATCCGGAGCTGGTTACCGGCCCGTTTCCGGTCTCTACTTTCAAGCACTTGCTCGGCGGAGCGAAGGCAGACGGGCCGAGGGGCCTGAACCCGCCGAACGGTAAACGATGATCCAAAGGGTGCAAAAATTGTGGCGGCAAGTGGAGCATATGATGAAGACCGTAGCCGAGAGAAGCCGCCGTGCTGAATGGCACTTGGAGATCCTTCGAATCAGTCACCTAAACATCAAAAAAGAAATGTACAATTAGTCATGGAGAGATTGCCACGGTGTGGTGGTACTTGCTCAAACAGATATACATATGTTAACAAGCGTGTCTGGGGGATTTTTGACGCTCGGTTAATTTCGAATCCAACTTTTTAATTTGCCCCCGGAGGATAAAGATCGTGAATAGTATTAACATTTCATTTCTTACGGTGCTCGATGAATTTTCGCTCGGCGAGAGAATCGAGCTATTCTGCGATATTTGAAGTAGGAATACAGAAATTTTCTACTCTATTTTTGTCAAATTTGATACATTACTGTGATCGTTTGGAAAGAGAAATTTGATATTTCACTTGTATCAAATATTATTACGTTGAAATTTTCATTCTGCGGAAATTGCAGTTGAAAAGAACGCGAACAATGGTAATTCTGTACAAAACGGGCGAAAATTCTGAAAATAAATGAGCATCATTTTTAAAGATGTGAAATTTTATTCATCGCGATATTTGTTTAACTCAATTCAATCGCACAAATGTTGTTATACGTCCCACACCATTAACGTACACTATATTATTTAGTATAAGCAGCGAGAAGAAGCACAAGCTGTTTTACTTGAAATCTAGATAAAGAAGAAGTAGAGAAGAAGTTGCTGAAAAAATTGCTCCTACAGTGGAAAATAACAGTTAACTAATGAACATAAATTACTCCTTTTTGCACTAACAGTACATGTTACGTTTCCAAAGAAAATAGCTGTCTTTTCTCTAGAAATTATGCAACGCTAAATAAATTCTAACGAGATGCACGGTGATCTATAGATCTCTTGAAAATGTTGTCAATTAACAAAATGGAATGTGACATTTAAGCAGTCTGTAAATTCCAAGAGATTGACGCGTTCAGTACGTAGATCTTGGAAATAATCGAAGAAACATCGAACGGTTCACAAACTTCGCCTTTAATATTCGCCGTTAATACTCCCAACGAAATCATTTCTCTAGGCAAAATCGTCTATATTCGACGTGACAGAGCGGCGAGATACAACAATACTACATTAAACGTTTTAAAGATTTCGGTGTTGCACAAATGCAACATATTCAAAGAGATGACATTTACCATGACCTGATGTTTCTTTATTACAAACGTTACAAAACAGAACTCGTTGATTTCCATCGAGGCATTCACTATACCAGCTTAATAGACTCGTCAATCACGGCGAATTGAATGATACAACTGACGGGGGGAAGCTTCACGTTTTGACGGATTATTATAACACAGTGGTTTCGCGTTATTAACAGTATAATGCCATATTGCTTTGGTATTATACGCTATTTCAGTGTGCTCGAATTCATAGAAATACCCGCATACTGCAAATGAGATATCCGGTTATATAATATGATAAGTTTTATCCGTGAATTTTGCCGGACGGTACAGAAAACGTAAAATATCGAATTTTCTGCGAAACAGGTATTAAGAATTGTATCGGGATATAATATTTCAATGAAACCTAATTTTTACATTAAGCACGTATTTCCCGGCTAGTATTCTACAATTGGAAATATCCCAGCGATATTTTCATAATGCATCAAGTCTATCAGAAATTAATCACGTCGGATCTCTTTCACTCCGAAAATTTGTATCTTTTCACGATCTGTAATATTCGTGTCTTTGCAAATTTTCTAATATTTACATCTTGCTGATAAAGGCGAAGACTCGCGTCTTATGGCAACGGAAGTGCAATATTTCTTCAAAATTCAGCGATAAAAATCGAATAAACCGTTTTCCGCGATTTAAAAAAAGAAATTATAAAAAATACAGTAAAAAGACATTTACAATTAAAATTTAATTTCCTATGTGTGAATTTCTCTAAAAACTGCACTATTACTGTAACTGTACGCATTTGCAACTTGCGGAAGTGAAAAATTCAATTATGAGTGATCTCGATCACTTTGCTTTTTTCGTAGATCAACGATCGATAGCGTTGAAAAACGCCGTAAACATTTGTTAAATATTTCCAATGAACAATACTCTGTTACCGGTGCGAATTGAAATAAATTCTCGTTAGCGATAGAAAAACGCTTAATTACTGGAATAAATAAGAAATGGATCATTTTTAATCGCTCGACTCTTCGTGCCTCGTTATATCGTTTTTATATTTAAATCGACCGGCTGGATATTTTGCACGTTTATAGTATCCGCTTTTTTTTTTAGAAACCAGATTGACATGAACTTCGAACTTATACGCTTTAATAAAATATCGAATATTGACGTAGTATTGTATTATCAATGTTACAACGTGAATTTGTGACGCAGTATTGACTATTGATTACCCTGTAATATGTCATATTTTCGAACGACGATCTCGCCATTCTGTTACTAGACATTCGTATTTATAGCTGGAAGGTAATATCATCGAGTACTTATTTTTCACAAATATCTCTGCCATACTTGACAGCGTTGAAATTCACGTGGACACGCCCTGCATTCTTTCCAATATCAACCGGTAATATTTGTATAAAAGCGCTATTGCATTTTAACGTACAAGTGGAAACACATCTCTACTTATTACCAATCGAAAATCGAATACTAATATTTGAACAACGCTTACGCACTATCAGATGGATACTCATACTCCGCGCGGGTGTTTCTACCCGACATCATATTGTTACACCGTATTTGAACAATTTCAGAACTTCGCCGTTCACAGAATGTACGTTCGAAATGAAACGTAGAAAATGTCAATGTTTAACAACAAATTCCCTACTAGTTACACAACACGACCCCGATACGAAAAGGTTCTTTTTTTTTTTTTTTCACGTTTCTCTCCCTCCGGTATCGCGATTCGTATTTTAATTTCAATTTTCAGGATTGAAGCTCTTGGTGAAATTTTATCTTGGTCAATTTTCATGTTACAGTTTCGTAGGAGATTTTTCAATTTTTCCAATAACTTGAAGTATTCCGTTTAATTAACGCTGATTAATTCGGTCTAAATCTGAGAGTAGAAATGAAACAGAAATAGAAACGGAAATTTGACACAGTTACTTTGTTCTGAATCTTGCGAACCAAATATTGGCAATTCGAACGATGAGTTATCTCATCTTTAAGGATCACTTTACCTGTCACGCATGCAGAACAATTACCAGAACAAATGGAACCGGTGAATATTTAAACTTCCCTCGATCGACAAACGGAAAAACTTGAAAAGCATATCCCGTAGTGCCTCTGAATTAAACAAGCGACGAATATAAACCGTAACAGACAGGAACAAAAAAATCAACTAGGACAATATCGAAAGTAGAACTTGACAAAATGCACCACAAAAGAAGATTTCTCTTCTGAGATACTCATTGGTGATTAAAAAAAAATCGTTAATTGTGCGTTGCTTCCTCAGTTGGAATTAATTGAACGAAACCTGCGATATTTCAATTTCCATACGTATCCACGTAGAATCTTATCGCGATGAAGATCGGGGGTCGCTTTTAAATATCGTTTGTTAACGCGGCTCTGGGCAAAATGATAAAAAAGAGAAAAAAAACTGCAGGGAGTAAACGGGGAGAGCAGAAGCATTGCAGCGATAAGCGATTTCCGGATAAACATTTCATCGGGTCAATAATGATGCAGCCGACGAGTTATATGGGAATTAGTACGGCAAGATTAGTTTATTATTCTTTTATACGAGGAAATGAGGTTCTCGTTTGTCGTCACGCGCCCGTATTCCGACGTAACTCCGCTCCGATCGCTGATTTATTAGGTATTCATTATTATTTTAATTACAACTGGCTGTCACGAGTGTGGCATTTTTCTTCCTCCTTTTTCCTTTTTCTTTTTTTTTCTCCAATCGATAGCTGATCGCCGAGCACGCTTTTGCATATTTGCAATGTTTTTTACCCCTCTCTTCCCTCTTTGCCGCGAATCGGCAGCGGTGGACGCGCGCTTTCAACCCTTCTTCAACGTTCGCAGTTTGTGCGCGTAGGGCAAAAAACGCGTGGAAATTTTGTCGTTCCGCCGCGATTAATTTCCAACGAAATTATCTCATTTTTTTGGACAGCGCCGAATTTTGATATGCTGCCACGTTTTATTATCCGGTTCCAATCAATCGTTTTGTACGTGTCTCGAAAGGTAGCGAGGCTTTATTTTTTATTCCGGGCCATACGCTGCAATCGGTTTCAATAATACAATACGCCTCTGTGACATGTATTTAAACGAGCTCGTTAATAAACACTTTAAAAATATACATTCCGAAACGTTTCCAACGGGATATTATTTTATTGCCCCGCGCACTGTCCTGTCCAATAATCGTTCTCGCCTCGAGGAAACCGTTCAATCGGAAACGAGTAGATAATTATACATGTTACGCGTGTACCGGCGTAATAATTATTTCTTACGTTAGAAATGTTTCGCAGTTTCGTCCTGTTTCTTCTTCCAACTTCCCGCGAGTAAGTACTTACACGAAACTTTTTCTTCTTGGTACACGTCTGAACTATTGGACGATCGCAAAAGTTCGCGCCCGATTTGAAAATAAAACACAAGAGGTGTGTGCGAAAGCAGATTTCGTTTGAAACTGAAATGGAACGAAATGAATAATTATTTGAAAATAAAACACAAGCAGCGTATCTTTCGATAGGAACGTAACATCACGCTGAAAGAAACATCTGTGCCGAAGTCGATAAGGTTCTCGCCACCTTTGAAAATCGGCCACGAACTTTTGCAGTCGTCTAATATTTTTGCCAGGTTGGTGCATGGAAACGTCGTTTTTTCGGATGAAACTTAAGATACCTTGCGTTCCTTCTTAATTAAAATCATTTCCTTCCAATGATTAATTAGTTTCGTTGTTGCAAATGTAGAAAAATTGTTGGAATTGAGTCGTTTTTTTGTTAAAAAAATTATCGAAGCGTTTGAAGAAACGGCAGTTTGTCGGGGAAAGGTCTGGTGAACAGGAGAGGATGCGGCAAAATTTCAGACCCTTTAAGATCGTTCTCGTTAGTTTTTCTTAAAACGTTATCATCTTAAGCAATATCTGGCCTCTTCCTCTTGGTTCACCAATCTTCAATTTTCCCCAACAACGTTGAACTGTCCTAACATTTTGAAACAATATCGAAACAATTGCATTCTAAATTTCCTCGCTACTCGATCCACGTGTATTCGTCTCGACTATCGTGCATAAAAATTGAACACACAGCGTGAACCTAAAAAGCGACATTTCATTTGCACCAACCCTAACACTATCGTTTCACATATTTTTTATCTTCGTACGTAAAAAACAGAGGAAATGAAAATGACTTGGAATCAAATAAACCTATATAAATATTTATTCGGACAGTAATGACGGTATTAACATACAATACTAATTCTAATGATAACAGGAATAACAGAAATTCACAACGATAGTAGTAATAATAAAGGATTAGTCTGAACTGAATATACTTACGATACTAATACTTACGGATACTTCGCGTTGCAATAACCATTTGGAGTATTTAATTTTTTTTTTTAAACTACTATTGTAAAGTAACCGATTGTCCATTGTAGCTTGCATACTACGATTTACGCATGCATACGCATTCGTTCGCACACATTCAACAAAATCCCTATTCAAAGCGTGCATTAATTACCATTGGTGTGCATAAAGCGGCTAGCGGCCGAAGCGATTGCAACTGCAGTTAGCCCATTGAAATTGACATTTTTCGAAGCATAAAGATTGGGCAGCTCCCTTTTATTATTCGCTGTGATAGTCTAGGAAAACGAATTCGCAATAAATTATGAAAAAAAAAAAGGGTACAAAAGACCGCGAGGAGACCAGCTTTCATTAAACATAACACTGATTAAAATTTCCTCTTGTACATTTTAACGCTGAATTTTGTCCTACCCACTTTTTAATTATACAGCTCTTCGCGCGTTATGGTCGTTCCCTGATATGTATTACACGCCTGCAATTCGATTTTCCATCCCTTATCGAACCTCCGCAACTGTTAATTTCGCACTATCTCGCGAACAAGTCGGCAAACTTAATCGCTTCTCAATGTTCTCAATGTTCATTCGGCAAAATTGAAATGTCACACGCTGTAACATTTTCTGTTCGCCGGTGAATCGCTTAAAATTCATTGGAAAATGTCAATTTCAAACCACTCGTTCCACGCTAATTACGAGCAAGCTTAAGATACGATACTTTACCCAAAACTGTGTAGAATAATATTCGTGACAAGGATTCCACGGTGGCAATTCGGGTATTCCTCCGGAGAAGTGTGTGCATATTTTTCAAGGTAATTTCGAAGGGGAGAAAAATGGGAGGAAACCGAATATAAGAGACTAATCATCGCCGCGTGAAGCCCTGTCGCGAATATTATTTCCAGCAGATTCTCGCGTGGGTAAACAGATAGGAGTAGAAGCAAATACAAGCTTAGGCGTATAGGTAAGGATAATAGGACACTAACTTGTGGATTGAAGGGTCTTTGCATTCTCAGAGCCTCTGGCAGCCCCCCGGCCTGTGAAAACACGACCAGGGACGGCGGCGGTAGATGATTCGGCACATACGCAGAGTTATCCATCTAGAACAGATATCGGCGTGTTCCATTTCTCAAATCCTTGCTCGATCTCTTTTGCGTACCGACTTTCTCCTATGAAAACGCGGCTTCTTCTTGAAGAACGCGCGACGCGAATTAGAACTGCGAGATTTTAGACCGAGTTCGTCGGTGTCGTGGGAAACGACGATGAAACGTGTGTGTAAAACATGGTTTCATTTGTAAATACTGTTTTTTTCGATCGTGTCGAAAATCTTCGTGCAACTTTCGGGCCAAACTTTCGCCATCGGTAAGCTTCAGGTCACTTTCTTTTTCGAAAGAGAGAAAAATTAGACGGTGAATGAAACATTCTATCGTTTCGAGGGTTTGAGAGATTCGTTCACTTTGTCTACGCTGTTTCGAAGTTTTTCGAGGATAATTTTGGAAAAATTGCGTTGCAATTTAGTTGAAAAAAGGAGAAATAAAGATTTTTAGCTTCGTCACTTTCTCACGAATTTTACATTATTATTATAAGTGTTTCTTGGGTCTTGAAACTATTATCTAAGTCGTTTCTCTCGAGTTTCTCTTACAATTTCAGAAGAATTTGCACCGTTCCTTAATTCTTCAAGAATCGCTCGAAAAGCATAGACATACGGCAAGAGTACGTTGTTCGGTTTGTTAGAAAAGGGGGGAAATGAAATGGCACTTAATTGAACGAGCCAACTCACAAATTATACCATATGCAGATTTGCAACTACGTTATAGATTAATTGCAAATGAAACTGAAAGTGATATGCAAGCTTGCATTGGTAATTAACGTTAAAACGTACGAAACTTTATACCGACGGATAAATATCCAGCAATTGGTCGATTTACAGCTATCCTTTACTTCGTTCGAATACTTCCGAAAATTTGAAGGAACGGATAAGAAGAAAACCGGGTTGATAAGCGAAATCGAATTTCTCAATTCGTTGCACCTCAAATTCGAGCATTTTCATATAGATCGTCGGTAATACCGGCATAACTTACAGAAAATTAAAAAGTTTGCTAAATTTTTCATTTGAACGAAACACCGAATTTATCAAATTACAAACAATACCAAACGTTATTTCACGAAGTTCGATTTGACGAAAAAAAAAAAAAACAGTATTCGGGAATTTTACCAGGTAAACGATGCGTTTTTAATTACAAATAAATGTCGATAACTGTGAAAGAGTATGGGAAAATAAAGATTTATTGAAATTACTGTAGTAATGTGTGGTGGTTGAAATTCGCGCGCCAAAAGATTTCTCAGGCTTCTTTTGTTAGGTATGCTTTAAAATATCTGGAAATATCTGGATATTAACACGTCTGCAACGTGCACTGTTCAATGTAGCTGGAGTAAACTGAGGAATAAATAACCTTTGAGAAATGTACAAGACGAATGTCTATGCTGTGCACAGAATTTTTGAACTTATTAGTAAGAAAAGTATGAAGAGGAAAGTGAAATTACGAAATACGTAGCTCAGAAAGTTCGAAGAATTAAAATTATTCGTTAAATTATGCAACTGCAATAATTGCTCAGTTCCACGAATTTTCTTCCTCCTGGGCCGGACCAGTATCAAAGTACATTGAATAGTGCAAGAAAATACGCGTCGGGAGCCATCGAAAAGAAGTTGAGGAACCAGGAAACATCAGTTGCGGTGCTTTATGTGTTCACATTTATTTGTTCAACGTGATCGTGGATCGAAATTTCATTGTAGAAGACAATTTCACGGAGAAAAGAACTGAAATCGAAATTGGTTTTTAAATAAAATAGTTACCGTTTTAACTTTAAACAATTGAAAATTTACCGTGATATATTTATTAACCTATCCTTATCCCCGGATAATCTTTCTTGTAATTGTCCAAAATGTTGCATCATCCGCGAGAAAGAAGAAATGAGAATTGTATTTTATTTCCAATAAACCTAACCTAACCTAACCTAACCAAGTTTCACATGTATATTATTCATAAACAATGCTGTTAGATAGATTTAGTGAAATATGAGCATCGAAAAAAATGATATTTTATTAACACAAGTAAATATCGTTGTTCGTATTTCGTAGATCTATACGTATAAAATGAGTCGTAGCATATGATTTTTATTTGTCAGTGTCGTGGCAAATCATTCCTACTGAAACACATCGAGAATACAATAATATTCTTGTTGAAAAAAAAAACAAAACAGATTACGAATTCAAGTTAAAATGAACAGTCACGTTCTGTTACATTTACAATCGGAAAAATATATGCACGTATATTATGAAAAACTATGGTTTGAATATTGGGAAACACTGTCAGGCATCGAGAATAAAATGTATAAAAGTGAACACCTGCAACGCAACGACGCAACAGGCTAACGTCGTTTCGATCATTTGTCAATGTTTCATGATCGAGGTAAAACGAAAACATGTACGTATGTATGTTGCTTATGAGTGTATATGTATGTACATATATACGTGTGTACATATAATACGTGTATTAATCACCAAACGCGTACATTTTGCTGTACTCCAAAGAAGTCACTGCACGAAATACGACCGTTCGAAAACATTCACTCTATTTCCATGGATCTCATCGTCCTTATCCGTCGCTTAGGAAACCAATTCTTATCACCAGCAGTTCGCACTAATATCCGCATAAATCGATTATCGGAGAACGTCACGAGCAATCTGTTCGAAAAAGGCGCGTTAGGTGGTGTACAACCTAACCTCAACGCACGGATGTCACGCGGTACGATGTTCCGCGTAAAGTTTCAATAAATTGTTAACTCGTTTTGACACCTGTCAGAACGTGTTGTTTGATGACCGTTTATTGCATGAAAACACATGAAAAATCAGCCGGCTAATAATTAACGAGAGACGATGCGGCGCGCGTGAATTCAAATTCAAACATGTTATACTATCCCGCCACGACAGGTCACTCTGACCTAACCTCTCGACGAATGATAATACCCGACGAGTACCTCAACTAGTGGCTCTGTCACCCGGGTACGGGTCTCTGGTAATGCACTAAACGTGGTGAGCCAGGTGCAAGAGAGGGGTGAGTACGAGAGGAAGGCGCCAGGCCCGTGCAAGCAACCTCGTGGACATGCGAGTGCAGACTGATTGGAGTGTGAGGGTACTTACCCACGAGTCGTGAGAACGGTGGCGGTGGCGGTAGCGGTGGTGGAGGCGAGGTAGAGGCGTGGAGAAACAAACCGGCGGCGGTGCTGGCGTGCGCGCGTGTTTTCCGCCGCCATTACTGGCGCCACTGTAGCACCACTTTGATAGTGCGCATGCGCGGCATGCGCACACGCTCGACGCGCAACCGTTGTCACGATCCAGCGAGGTTTAATCGTGCGCCGGCAGCGCGACTAGCAACATCTCTGTTATTTTATCGCGATGTGTACAAAAACGAATTTACACCAAAGTTCCCACTGCAGTCGATGTTACTTCGGTTCTTGTGTAAAAGTAGACAGACCTATGTGCGCTGTAATAAACATTTCGAAAATTCTTTCGTTATTTATTATCGTCACCTTCGTTGTATGGTAGAAGTACTACCTTCGAGACACAATAGCTGTCAGTTCTTATTAGAATACTGAATGTTTATCAATGCTTTTGATTTACTTCATTTTTCAACTCGTACAAACTTTTTCCTCAAAAAATAGTTTAAACAATGACTTAAATGTGTGATACGTTAACCATGTTTCGGTTCTGCTCTTGTTTAAACATATTACGTGCAAGTCAATTTTATTTTACTTAAAAGTTCTAAATTTATTTATTGCAAATATATTCGAAAAGATTACGAAATCAATAGAAAAGTTAATATTTGTAATATTTTCATACAGAAAATATAATGTAACGGGAAAATTGAAATTTTCAGTTTTTATTTTTAATTAAATAATTAAAATTATAAAATTATCTACCGACATTAGTAGGCAGAAGATTCTCTTTTTTTACGTCACAGATGAGCAAAGCAGTACGGAATTAATAGAATATTTAATCGTAAAATTAATACGAAATAACAGTTTTAAAACCGTTATAATATAGTTTTATCTAACATGTCAATACACAGACGAGTAATCTAACAGTGCATGTATTTCGATTACACTTTCACTATGTCCTTTATATATTTAACTGACCAGAAATTCGAAGAAAAAAATTACCCATACTAAAAATAAATGTGAAAGTATCGTTATAAATTTAAAATGTTACCTTAATGTTCGTATTTAAAAACGTAGTGCCACTGGTACAAGAACTTTTTATCCTTCTTAATATCCAGTAATATGACCTTGCATGTTCTGTGTTTGGTGTGTGAACGCACATTGCAATAATGTGTTAATTGGTCGAAATCAAAAACATTGATTCTTATGATGTATTGACTTTTGTGAATATATTTAGAATTTTTGAAAATGATTGTATTCATAATTTACTACTAATACACATGTTATCGATATTTTGACATATCCACACATATGTTATTCTAAACTAACCAAATTAACTGGTTAGTAAAATTCGTTTATACAAAGGGAAAGAAAATCAAAAATATTAAGTAATACTAATGATACAACAATAAAAGCACAAATATAAATTTTGAAGAATTTGTACTGTACTATTCGATATGTTTAATGAAAATAATAATATCTATAGAGTACGTATTAACGTGAAAGTAATTGAAAAGAAAGCTTTATGATGGAATTATTTACTTGTCATTCACTGTCAGCCATACACATTCATATTTATCCTTAATTATCCACACTGATCAATTTTTATGAGAAACTTCTGTTAGGCTAAACCTAACCTATTTGATGGAAACATGTACGAGTGTTCAACTAGACACGTATTAAACTATTTATTTGAACGAAATAGTCAAAATTCAAACCCTTTTATAAATTTTATGATAGTCAAATTATTTGAATAATTTCAGTAACAATTTCCTCAGCATGAAAGCGAATATATGCGAAATGTCAATAAACAGTCATTAATGATGTTTTATCAAAATAACGTTTTAAAAAAAGTAGCACCTCCACGTGCTACGGAGACCAACAAAGTTGCAATGTGCTTCCATCTATTGTGAGGAAACTGAAAATAGATTTCGTTAATCAAATACAGTGGACATATATACTAAAATTTCGTATTATTAGAGAGATCTATTTAAAACCTCTATCTTAAATAACTAGATCTAAGCAGATAATAAATAGTTAATATAGCATACATGGAACTGTGATAAGTTGAATGAAATTATATTACCATTAGAGAGTTTGAAAACTATTATCCCCACAATCGATAAGTGTATTAATATCTGCAACGCATAATTCTAACATACTGCTTTTTATTAGGCTAATTACAAACGTTAAAATAATTTCTATATCTTTCTAAAATAAGGTAATGTTTAACAGTGAAAAAAAAGCTTTTTTAGAACTAAAAGAACCGATATAAGGTACATTATTTGCGTGAATTTACCATATATACAATCTAGACATGAAGCGTAGATTATGTAAAAATGTGCCAAATCATTTATTTCATAAAACATCTTTATTTTACATTTATTTTACTTTTGATAAAACATCATTAATAATATTTCGCATTTATTTTCTTTAATACTGAGAAAATTGTTACTAAAATTATTCAAATAATTCAACTGTCGTAAAATCTATAGGTTTGAATTTTGACTGTTTTGTCTAAATAAATAGTTTAATGCGTATTTAGTTGAACACTCACATATATGTTTCCAACAAATAAGTTATTAAAACAATATTAAAAAATATATAAACTCTTTGAAAACTATTGACGTACTCGTGCATCCAAAGAATTTGAACGGCGTAGACGACGCAAA